TGGGGAACGCTGTTGTGTCCTGGTGAGTTCGAACCACCGGCCTTTCTGTTAGCGGGCGGGTGCCTCACTCCTCTTCACCAGGCTCCTTGGGAGCACACTGGACTCTCAAACTCCCTGCCGCCACCGAGTCGATGCCGACCCGACCCATAGTGACCCTGTGGGGCAGGGCAGAATTGACCCCTGTGGGTTTCTGACACGGCAACACTTTTTTTACGGGAGCAGAAAACCTTCTCTTTCTCCTGGGGAGTGCACTAGCGTGTCAATCTGATGGTGAGTCTCAGAAATGGAGGATGGATGCCGATTTTATTGGCAAGTGGGGAAATGGGGCGTCCCTCTAAATGCCACCACGAAGTGCTTTTTATTCCTTTCTTCACACTCACTTGCTACAGTTAAATTTAATAAGTATTTGCAGCCAGGCCTGTGGTCGCCCTTAGCAGAGACATTAAGGAGAGGCTGCTCTCAGCAGGGGAGGGAGTGTGCTGGGCTCCCTTTCCTGCTTGAACCCCCCTCCCCTCCCATTAGGAGGACTTTGCTTTGCTTTGAGGCTTGGAACACTGGCCCCTGGCCCCAGTGGCTTTCAAACACAGGCCCCGTGGGGGTTGCTGGCGGTGCTGAGGGTGAAGGAGAGGCTCTGGTTGGCCGCTGGCCAGTATTTTTACATATTCAGAAAACAACAGATGCTGGAAATCACCACGGGACGCCTCCACCTCGGTATGGGTGTGACTAGAAGCTGGGATCCTGCGAGCCCTGATGCGGAAGGGAGGGTGCAGAGGGCATATGCCTCAGCAGGGCCTTGGGCAGCAGTGAGCAATGAGGACGGGGCAGGGCAGAGGTGAGCGGGCAGGTCTTGCTGGGTGACTGTCAGAGTCTGTCGTCCACACTTGGCATCCCTCCTGCAGAGAGGTCACCTTGTGTAGATAAAGCAACTCAGTTCACAGAAGGTGAAGTAGCTCGGGCTGTATGATGGTGGACCTCGCACGAAAGGGAAACAGGAGCCCCTTGTTATAAAGGCAGGGACATTCACTGCCTGATGGTGAGACTACAGGTAGGGTAGAGCAGCCCCCGTGGGTTTCCAGGATTGAAACTCCGTTATCCTCTTTCTCCTGTGTAGAGGCTGATGGTTTCAAACTGCTGACTTTGAGGTCACTAGTCCAACGTATAGCCCACTGTGCCAGCAGCGACAGGGGGTGTTAGAAATACCAACACGGAGAATGTTTTCCTTCCATTTGCAGTTCTTCTAACAGTGGGGCTCTTGGGCAGCTGTTTAAAACTGTTCTCCAGGAGGCACTGTGGGGTGAGGGAGACTCCCTCAAGCACCCGGGGCCCATGCATGTCGGCCACTGCTTGCTGGGTTTCCCCTCTTAGTGTTAAGGGCTAAAGAAAACCCCTGCTGCCTTCTACAGCACAGACTGGGAAGCCATTTAAACGCTCTACCACCTTACAGGGAGGCCCTTTCACCCTCAGGCCCAGACTTACCTTGCGTTTCCTCTTGGACTTTGGCAAAGTCTTTTCGGGGGGTGCATCGGACAAGAGACTCGGTGGTGCGCTCTCTGCGTCCTTGGCGGCAGGAGTGCTCACGACCACCGGCTCCTGGGGCAGGTGTTCCGGGATTCTGGACAGGAGCGTCAGGTCGATTTTGACCCAGAGAGACCTGACCTCCTCGCTGTCCTTCAGAGGGGAGAGAAGTTCGTTGCGGCCGAAGGGGACCAGCGTGTAGAACTGCTCCTCCAGCTCCTTGGCGATTTCGCTGGTGGTCCTGGCGTTGATGGAGCCCACGGGGGCCCGGGGGCCACCCCCGCTGCTAATGCTGTTCACAGCCTCCTTCAGTCTCTGCTCACACCCAGACGCGGAGGCGGAGGAGGAGGAGGAGGAGGAGGTGGAGGAGGGGGCCCCTGCCTGCGGCTTGGACAGAGGGTAGTCCTCCTGCTCCGACTCCAGGTCCGAGTCCGAGGAGGACGAGGAGGACGACTCCGTCTCGATGAACTCCTTGGACTTGGGGACGATCCTGCTTAGGCCCCGCGTGCGGCGCTTCTCGCAGGGCACCGAGGAGCGGAGCTCCTTCCTGTGGCCTGTTCTGCTGTTGCCGCACGGTCTGGATTTGGTGGGCTCTGGGGGGACCACCACGCTTGTCCCCAGAGGGTCCCCAGCTGTGGGCTCCTCGGCCCGGTGACAGTTGGTGCTGTCTCCGCCACTGGCCGAGGTCCTCTCTGTGCGCCGGGTGGGCTTCTTGCCGGCAGACCTCCGGGCTGGCGCAGGTGCACTCTCCGTGGGCACCCCGGGCACTGCGGGCGGCGGGGCAGCAGCGGTCACAGCCACAGCCACAGCGGCGGGTGGCGATTTCTGCTTCACTCCTTTACTGCCCGGGGCCTTGTTGGCGGTCCTGGGCCTCTGCTCCTCCTTGCAGGCGCTCTTGATTTCCTTCTCCCGCAGGCTGGTCTGGCAGAGCTCCGGGAGCTGCCCACACTCAGGCACCTCGTCTTTCACTGTGGGGTAGTACTGGGTGCTCTCTGGCCCATGGCTCTCATTCTGGATCAGAATTGGAGGCTTGTGGGGATTCACTTTGTTTAGCCATTTATCCAGCTGCCACTTGTTAGAGGATGCCGGTTCAGCCTAAAAGCAGAAAACATCATTTATGAAAGTCTCACTTAAAAGGGACGTGTGTGTACCTTATTTTAAATTACATCTCTGGGGGTACTCACTCAAAAGAAAACCCCTCTCACTGCATGAGTTGATGCCGACTCGTAGTGCCCCTGTAAGGCAAGGTAGAACTGCCCCGCTGAGTCTCCCAGACTGTGACTGTTTACAGGATTAGACAGCCCCCGCCTTTCTCCCGAGGATCAGCTTGTGGTTTCAAACGGCAGACCTTTCGGAAATACAGCCCAACACTTGAACCACTACCCTACCAGAGCTGCAAGGTGTGTGTAACAGCTCTTTACCAAACACAGGCAGTGGGGGGCACTGCACTTCCCCAACACTGCTCAGATCAAGTTAGTGACAGGGTACCTGGTGCCATCGCAACGCATCCTGAGCGCCTAGCAGTTGTATACAACATATCCATTTTCAAGTACTTCCACACAGATACCCAAACTTCACTTCTGTGGTGCTGTTTCACAATGAACCACTGGTGGTGTGGTGGTCGGGACTCTGCTGGCTAACCCAAAGTTTGGCAGTCGAACCCATCAGCTGCTTGGAGGGAGAAGATACGATGAGGCAGTCTGCTTCTGGACCAATTATAGCCTTGGCAATCCTCCTACTCCGTCTTAGATGGTTTCTGTGAATTGGGATTGATTTCATGGTGTGAATGTAAAGCACTGTGTGTGTGTGTGGGGTGGGGGTTTGCAACTTTTTGGGAAAGCTGGCACAGGGGCTACTAGAAACTATATGTAACAGAGAATTATCATATAACATATACGCGAAAAGGCAAGTAAGAGTCACTTAGCAATGGAAGTGATACGCTTTGGGAAGATGGTTTGTTGAATGAGACAGAATTCAGATTTCAGAAGGGACCCAAGTGAGCATTACATGCTTCAGACAACCTGGTGTGGTTGGGTCTATCCTCAACCTGTTGCCCTCACACTTTGCCTGAAATCTGTCAGAAATGGAGGTCATGACAGACATCTTTCCTGCAGGCAGTTGGGTTGTCTTAGAGCAAATCCTGCACATCACAGGTTCTTAAACGCTCTCCATAGCTCAGCTCTCTCAGCGCAAGAGCTGGCTCAGATGCATTTCCCTGGGAGGTGGACACAGCTTTCATTAGGACTTAGGTCTCGTGAAAGGTTAAGAATGCCTTGATCTTACAGGGAGTGAGTACTGATTCCTAATCCAAGTCCATGGAGGCAGTATCCGTGCTTATCCACAGGAAAGAGGCATATTGGTCACTGCAGAACCAGGGTGTTTTTATTTGTGACAAAAAGGCAAAAGGGAGAGTATTTTCAGTGATTAAGGCGATGTGCTTTACAGTTTCCTGAGCCTCTGCGCCCATGGCCTGCACTGTCAGGGGGAGACCAGATAAGCCGACCTGAAATAAAGGCGTCACAGCTTAGCTTTGACTTTCAGACATGTTCCATTTCTCATACAGTGTGACAAGTCAGGGACGCTGTGCTCCAGTTTCCAGAAACAAAAAGCAAGCTCAATGCACCGCCGTCAGATCTCTATATACCCAAAGCTGGAAGCTGCCACCAAGACGGAGCTCATGTGGGTCTAGGGTTAAGAATCAGTCTCTCCACCGCTTCATCACGCGACCTCCCACTCCTCTCTGGCACAGCCTCCTGCAAGGAGGACCTCCACATACCTCTGAAAAAGGGAAAGCTCTTCCCCCTGGAGTGGTAGAAACAGAGCTGATTCTCAAAACAGAGCTGTTTTGAGAAAACACCATCAAGTCCCCAATGATTGCTTTCTCTTTATACTCAATTGCATAGTCTTTTGGTGTTCATATTCATTTCATCTGGTCTCTTCAACAAAGCCAAGCCCTTCTTGCAGACTGGTGCCGGGCCCCTCTTCCTTCTGTAACCTTCACAGCATCCATTTCAGGGTAGGGGATAGACTATTCCAACCCTGTTCCTGATGAGAACAATCCACAAAGCCCTATCACTCAAACTTGAATGCTGATCCCTGACAATGACCTCACAGGTTAAGGAAGACAGGGGCTTTTGCCATTCTGGATATGAGGTCCTTGTAGGCAAGGGAGCTCAGCCAATGCCATGCTCCCCCGGGCAAGGGGGGAAAGAACACACAGGGCTTCTGACTCGGGTCCACCGGCACGGGCAGGCTCCAGTGGTTCCGAAACTATTCTGAACATCCAGCCCAGGCAGTTCTGTCCAGGATCTTTGTTGGTTTGCTTGCTTGCTTCTATTTTCAGCCATGACTCTCCCCGCTACCTAATGATGGGCTCTGGCTCATGGAAAATTCACCATGGTGTATTCTGGGCTCTCCTTCAGCCATACCCTTCATGGCCCCGCAGTGCTACATAGCCCCCAGGCCCCTAAGTTAATGAGAAGCGTGGCTCGCTGAAGCAATGAGTGGCTCACGTTACACTGGTGTGATTATGAAGCCAAGAGCCTGATTGCTGCATGGGATTTGGGGAGACAGGGCTAGGTGCTCTTTGAAAGGTGGCTCTGATTTTCGAGTCTGGTCTAGGGCAGTGTTTTCCAAAAGGTATAGGAAGGAAGGCCTCTGTGGCCAGGGCAATTTGGGAGAGGTCCCAGTGGAAAACACAGACGACACGAGTCATATAAAGGACTGGCTGAGGCGCGATGGCAGGGCGGGGATCGTTCAGCGCTGGGGCTGTAGAGGCCCAAGAAGTCATCAGTACCAGTTAACGTCACCCGCCTCACCCGAGAGAAGTAGTTCCAGCCATCACGTTAGGGGTGAGTCCATTCAATGTCTGACCACAGAGAGCAGGCTGATTTTTAAGTCGATCATTTTGCATGGCCAGCACATGAGGTTACAAAGGTTTAAATGGCCCTTGGCAGAGAAAATGGTTGCCCAACCGTGCCTTATGGTAATGGAGAGGGTGGTGTCCTTTATCCCAGCTCTCCTTCCATTTGTGTGGCCAGACTGTCAGCTTTCTCTCTTTCTCTCTTTTTTCTGAGTCAGGCTCAGGTTAGGGAGCTCTGTGGCTGGAGTAGACGTGCCAGCCAGAGGAAGGCAAAGCTCTGGCATAGAATGCACCATACCAGGAAGGAAGAGAAACTCCAAGGAGAAAAATGAGGTGGAACAAAACCCTGCAAGCATCCAGTCCTGAGCAGGGGGATCACAGGCGCGGGAATCATGCTGGCCGTGGATTTCCATCGTAACTTACATGGCTGATGTGATTATGCTCTGTGATGCTCGCACAACGAAGTGGCTCTCAGCAGCCCTAACTCTAAAGACCAGTTAGTGAGCATCTGAAACGCAGATGGGCCCGGGGGCCCACGTACAGGCACTTTAAAGTGAGGCTGCAGGTGCTTCCGATCACAACAAACCC